TTTTTTTTTTTTTTTTTGTAATTATAGTTGTTCGCTCGTTTTTTGGGTGAAATGCCCATTTGTGGTAAATAACGAGAGGGGGTCAGGGGGGGGGGTGATAAAGTTGCCCTGAAAAATGCTGACATGAGAGGTCGTTTGGGGTGGGACGCGCGCACAATCTGAGTCTCACCATTCCGAACATTTAGAGGTCCTCTTTCGGCTTCTCCAGCGTGGGGGCCAGCACCTCGGGAAAGGGGTCCAGTGCCGCTGCGGTGGAGGGGGGGAAAAAAAAAAAGATGCAAAATTGCTTCAGCATGCGTGTGTAAGCGAATGAGCTGCCATTCCGTTAACGGCAGTTTACTTCCAGAAGGCACTTTTCCGGTTCACTTTATTACCCGTGTATTTCCACTTGTCCACAATCTCCTTCTTCTGCCTATCGCTGAAGTATTCTATATTTATTCTTACAGAAAAAAAAAAAAAAAAAAAAACAATGGGCGGGGGTGCACAGGTAATATATGTGCAGTTGGATTAGTCTGTTCATTCAAGCATCTGTGGCGCTTTTCTCTTCGCGACTTACTTCTCCTTTTCTCCAGTTAAGTACTCTACTTCTATCATGGGTGGATTTTCATATCTTCAGAGATGGGGGTAGGAGGGTTCACATGTGCGGGTGAGCAAACAGTGCAATACATGCAACGCACATAAGGGTGGGGAAGCGACAGGCGTGGTAAACACACCGCACACACACATGTACTCATAAAATGCTTACGCTAGGAGTTCCCATGTTACAGTCAATAGGGGGTACTTTTGTTTTATTTTTTGGGAGGACGCATAGACAATGAGTCGCCTGTGGGGGGAACATGGGAACGTGTGCCAGCCGGGGTGGGTTAATCTGTTTAGGTGGCCATTGGTACGCGGCCATGGGCGCCATCCGTTCGTATGGTCCATATGGAGAGGAAAGGGAGCACGTACAAACAACTGAGTGTAATCATTTCCTTTCCAAATCAATTTGTCCCCTGCGGGCACCCCTTTTATCTTTGCTCCTGCTCGGACTGGTTAAACTACCTACCTCGCAACGTCCGCCTTCTCGCTGCGCACAGGGGAATAATACACATGCAATTTCCTCAGGTACTTTAAAAAAGTCAAGGGAGGGAAGAGCCTGTATCTCATTTTGCTAACAGCAGGATGGTGTGCTCATCAGGGGGGACAGGTACCTTTCCGTCTTTTGCAACGGGGGGAAAGCAGCGTGCGGGATTTGGCTCCAACCTGTTGCACGCAGCATCATGTAGCATGGTGCAACAGGACATATCTGAGCCTTACGTACTACCAATAAGGCGGCTCGCCTTTAATGAGGGTACCCATTAATACTAGCACCTGCGTTCTGAATTTCCTGTTTGTGCAACACGCACCATGGGGTAACTTTTACAGGATTACGTTATCCAAAATATTTTTCATTTTAACTTCATAACTTTTTGTAGCTGCTGACTATTTGGCTATTTTCTCAAAAAAAAAAAAAAAAAAAAAAAATTTAAAACGACGCAGAAATGGCTAGCCAAAAAGTTGATGCTTTTTTGATTTTTTTTTCTTTTTTAATTAAATGGCGGGGCATCGAGAGGGATAGCTGCGCCAATGCAGGCATATCATAATATATCTACACACATACATTCATGCCACCGCGGCAAGTGGAGAAGATCGTTTGCAAATGAGGCAGAACGAAACATACATATGATGTTTACATCCATCCTGGGGAAGGATCATACAAAGTGGCGGTTATATCATACGGAATGGCGAGTTTAAAAGAAAAAAAAAAAAAAATGGCATGTTATTATGCCCGTAAAGCATGTAAAAAATGTGTGTTACAAGTATGACTTGAAAAAATGGCTCTACTGTTAAAATTTTCTTTTGAATTTGACACAAATGAAAAAAAATAACTACACACCGCAGAGGGGGTCCTCTTGTATGGGAATTAAAAATTCGGGGGATACATAAACAACCACGTGTTCACTTACTCTGATGTGTGTGTATGTTGTGTATGCGTCCCAAAATTGGGGAAGAAAATCACGAATTACTGCGCACCGTTTTATAAACCTTAAAATGGTGATTGAGGTTTTTTACAGAGTGAAGCTTCGCTCGGCTGAACAAGGCCCCGTTGTCTCTGTTCAATTCATCAAAGATGACACATTTAATGCGCGAGTGCACCATCGCCATTGCACACATAAAGCAGGGTTCGTGGCTTAGGTATGCGTAATAATTCGTGCATAGGTACTGGTCGTCCTCAACAGCGTTGACCATGGATAACCGCGTGAGGTCTTCCCCATCAGCGGCTCCACCATCGACTAATTCATCCTGATCCACCGCTGCGAATTTCAAGTTGGGCGTGCTTCCACCTGACACGCTGTCCCCTTCTCTACTTCCAATTCTGCATTTTTTGTTACTCGGGCCTTGTTGGCATTCCGAGGTGTGCGCATTCTGCACATGATTAGTGATGCAATCTGTAGTGTTACTCTTACAATCGCTTGTTCCCATGTGCACTTCCTTCTTCATTTTCCACAGGTAACGTAATTTGAAGGAAGCCTGTTCAATGGCCAACATCACCGCATGCTGCAATGGGTGATTTTTTATATTATCACCTGAACAGGCAATAATTTTATCGTTGTGCGTTAAAACACACCCACCTTGGCAGGTGCCAAAATTTTTCCCAACACGAATTGCAATGTGTACAAAGTGTATGAATTTCTTTATTTCTTCTTTTGCTAATGTTGTTACCTCATTTGCTGGTTTTCTATAGTAGAGTGGCCAATGCACGGACCATTCTGCGTACTGCTTTCTCGTCATGGGGGGGTGCTTGGACACATGTACCATTTTCATGGTAATTGGCTTGCCTCCATTTATTTGCAAAAGTTCGATAAGTAAATCGTCTGGAAGTTTGTCACAGAAACCTACAAGTATCTGGACATTTTCGTCGTTTATTTTTCTACACCTTTTCAAATAATTATAATTGTTACCAAGTTGGCTATTGACAAAATTTCGCATCACATTTAAGCATTCCTTTGTTGTGTCTTTCGTTGTTTCAAGACAGTACATGGGGATTAATTCGATCGCTTGTGTGTACGAGTCTGGGTACACTTGTTCTATGTCAACGATTTGGGAATCCATCATGGGATGGGCCAGCATACAATTGGTCACGCCTTCCCCGCAAGGGTGTGTATGGGTCCCTATAAGGTGTCCATGCAATGTGGCTCTAAAAGGTGTCCTTTACTAGAACTGAGGAAGAGGAACCCCCTTGAAGAATTTATCAAAATGGAGGAGCCAACTTGTGAGCAAGTGCCACTAGCAACTGAACAAATTGAAGAGGCACAAAAAAGAAAAAAAAAAAAAAGCTAACGGTAAAATCTTCCATTTTGAGAGAAAAAGTATATGTGAACAGCTGAAGAGGTGTTCACTTCCATTTTCTCCCCAACTGGGTGGTCCTCATACTGGACGTTCCTTTAATTAAGCGCTTTGGTGGACTTTATACCACAAGAGTGTCCTTGTCATTGCAACGTAGGTTGCCCATTCGTGAGGAGGTCATTGTATGCTTCTCCATTTCGAACCTGTAGCCCTTTCCTTCATCGCGTTACATTTGTTCTACCTGTGTTATAATAATTGTTTTACGAGGAGTAGTTTCTCTTTAGGTTCGCATAAAAATGGGTGAAACTCCCCAAGCTCGCTTTTATTTTTACCATGTTTTAGGCATCCGAATGGCTCTTGCACATATGTAACTGTTCACCTTTAGGCATTGCAAAAAAAAAAAAAAAAAA